TTTTTCCGGTGGAATATTGACCAAGAAGCATGACCATGGGTTTAGCATCAAAATCGCTATTGGTCTGAAAATGATAAATCACAAATACCCGCAAACTTAACAATATCCTATTACCATCACTAGGTTAGAATAGTGTTTTGTCCATTAAATAACAAAATTTAGCATCTTGTACTGATAGGCGAATGCCACTTACCAACAAGGGAGATTCGAAATCATTAAAACGGTAAGTGACCTCCAGTGGCTTAAGCCTCTCAACGTACAATCTCTTCAAACCATCAATTATAGATGTGATTGACAGGAGAGGTAACTGAGAAAAGAAAATACTTATATGATTTATTATGAAAGTAAATGATCTCAAATCAAGCAGGTCACTTATTAAATCTTAAGAAAATACACATTATCCAGAGTAAAATCGGATAGGAACCGAAATACGCCAACCAAGCATTGAAGGCTGATATATGGCTTTAATCAAAACCACAAAATGATGGGAAAATAAAGAAGGATCAAGTGGGATGCACCTTCTTTAAGGATTTTGATTTTGACGCGAGCCGAAGAGAAGGTGGCAACGGTTGAGGCTGAGCTGCACCTACATTTGATCAATGAAGTAAATTAATCAGTTGTTAATTAAACAATGCAATGCCGTATGTTATGAAAAGAATAATGTATGTTACCATTTATTTCTGGTTGGGTTTTGATCGTTAAACTCTTAGTTCTCTGAAACCAGAAAGAGGGGGAAACGAAAAGGAGGACGAGGAAGGTTAGAAGTCATCCACTGAAATAATAAACTCTAATTAAGTACCAAGAGAGATAAACAAAACTTAGTACTCACTTCCAGCAAAGCATCAATTCCATTCATCACTGGAGGTTTAATATTTTCCTTGTCAACTGTAACTAACAGAAGCGAAATAGGTGGATCAAAAGGTGGGAATGAAAAGATGAATTCAGTATCAACGATGACAAGAAATTACAACAAGCAAAAGAGCCATTTCTTTGAAGCGAATCCAAATTGATATAAATGGGAAAATACTTCAAGTTTCCGCCTCCCAAGATCATTATCTGGTTGATTTGTCAATTCTAGAAGAATGAAAGAAAACAGAATTTGTAACATCTCCATGCTCTTTCAATGTTCCATATAATTTAATTGTCGAATACTTCTTTCCTTAGAGAAACCTTCCCAAACTCTCTCCCGTGAATTAATCAGGAAATGGATGCACAGTATCAAAAGACCTTATTTCTGCTTTGTTAATTTTGACAGACAGATACATCTAAAGGCATTAATCAACTTACTTTCATTTTTAAGGATATCTGAGGTCAGTTCATATCCTGTTTGAGCCAGGGCAACAAGCTGTTTGATGTCAGAAGCATAATTTCAATGTCAGATTCTCATATAAAACCATACCGTATGGACAGGGGGGGGGGGACTTCAAACACACAACAACCTGCATCGCGGTAACAAACTCCGTGAAACCCAAGAACCCTTGTCTTTTGGTATCTGCGATTGCCCAAACCTAAGAGATACAAACAATATCAGTTATTTTTCGCAAATTAATTCGTGAAACATGCTCAGTTAACAACTTATATGAACACCGAAGAATGATTCACAAAACAATAACTTAAAAACCAAAACATCATTAAACAGAGTTGATTCGGAAATGCGCAGCAATTACAAAATCAGTGAAGCTATAAACCTGTTTAAGTTGAGAACGAGATAAATTGGACATTGCGAAGAACTTGGTGGCATCATTACCAGTGATACGGCCATCTCCATCTACACATCAAAAGAAGGGAAAAGAAGTCGATACAGTGAAGGAAATTGAAATACCGCTGATGCGTTAACATAAATAAAAATAGAGCAGGAATAAGAGGAGGAAACCTGAATCGGCCAAGTTAAACCATTCCTGGTAGATCTTCGTCTGCTCCTTCGAACACGAACTGAGCCAGTCACTCCCAGTCATCATTTTTCAACTTTGAATAAACTCTACTCCTCGGAACTTCAAGAAGCTCTTCGAATGAAGAACGTTTATAGATGATTCGTTCTTCAATTTTCAAAACGTTGGCCTCCGCGCAGAGATCGAGCTTTGCTATGCTGCGCGGCCGACCATGATTAGAATCGTGGGCGTGATTTTGACGGGAGATAAACGTGTCAAAACGAAGGGTCCTTTTGGGCTTATAACGATGGTTCCTGGACCGTTACAGATTTGACGCCTGTGCGGCTGTTAGCGGGTCCCACTGGATAACGTTTTGGTTCCGGTGCTTACTGTTTAGCCCAATTTGAATTGAGCTTTTTAAACTTTTAAAATTAGAGCGCCAGTACGAGGCGTCAGTTACGAGAGTGGGACCCATTCTGACCCTACCGAACTGGTTGGGCTCCACTTCAAAGATCCAAAATAAATAAAAAATTCCGAATAATTTCCATAAATTAAGTCAACAAGTTTCATATTAAATTTTGTACAGTTTAAGATATTTTTTAAAAATAAAAAAAGGTAAATGTAAATAATCAAGATTAAAATCGACAGATAATTTGATTTTTTTAATCTTTTTTAACTGTGTGAAACAAATTTCGGTGTTCAACATCTTTTTTTGCCTGTGATTATTAACAACAATAAATGAAAAAGCAGAATAATTAATGAGGATCTTTGGCAATGAATTGTGGTTAGCTGTCATCCATACGGAGCTTTCATGTGTTTCCCGCGCGCTAAAATGTCTAAAACGGTCAAAATCAGTTCCTCACCACGTAATGGAACCATCTGACATCAATCATAAATCTCTTTACTGGGAATAACTAAACCGAAAACTTGATCAAAAATCGTGGCGCGTCTGGTGTGCCCAAAATCGACAGGAAGGGATGAGAATAAAAATTTTAATGAATTTAATTTACAAAAAAAAATCTCACAAAAAAACATAAAAATTATGATTACAAATAACAACAAATTTTTATTGGTTTTAAAAAATAAATTTTTATAAAAATTCTTCGCTTGAGATTTAGTAATTTTCAAATTTTTCATTGAAGAACAGGATTAATAATTTTCAATTAATTTTTTACATTCTTTTATCTTACATTCTTTCTTTATTAAAATTTTATAACCTTTTTATTTATTTTTTTAAATCCAGCTCATTAAATTTCTTTTTAATTCTCGTTCCTCCATTACACTAATGAATTTAAAAAGCAGGTTTTTAAAGTTGTACCATGGGATAAAAAGCATGTTTAAAGTTGTATCAATCAATAAAATTTTTTTTCCAGATACTAATCATGGGTTTTGAAGATGTTCTTGTAGGATATGAATTATTACACTAATTGAACCAATTTTTGTTGACTGGTTGGATGCAATCACCTTCTGTTTTGACTAATTGTTTTTATGGATCAATGGATAGACCTGGGTCCAGCTTGACATGGGCTTAGAGTTTTATGGTTTCGACCTAATGTAAAATCCAGTCCAACTTCGGCCCGGCCCAATAGAAACTTGATCAGGGCCACAAGTTTTTAAATTTCTTTAGTAGACATACAGGGCTAAAAGCCCAAATTTTTAATTTATGGACTGAAGTGGCATGATTCACAAAAGATTCAACGATTAAAATAATTGTGAAGAACAATATGTAAGTTGTAAATATTCAAGACCAGAACATCTGGGCAAAAAATGAAAGTAAAAAAGAAGAAAATTAAAATATATAATACTGCAAAAGGATGATTATACATGAAGGCTTGTGCGGATCAAAGCAGACTATAGCAGCCCCACGTTCGTTTGTTTTCACTTGAAAAAGCAACAATACTGCATTTGTATCACAATGTCAAATATAGAACATATGCTTTAGTAAAAGAAAAAGATTATATATATAATATAGCAAAATTTGAAAAAAAAAAAAATCAAGATGCACACATCAATTTAGCCTGGTTAGAAAGCATATTTTGTGGAAAGAAAAATATTCATGACGTGGAATTTGGATTCTCTGCCAAAACTAGATGACATATTTTATGTTGCTTTTACTTTTAAAATTTTAAAATTTACATTTCAAAAAGAATATGACATGAAACAAAAAATATATCTGTAGTTTTTAATGGCTCAATTTCCTTTTAACTATTAATATCCTCTTTAAATTTGATTTAAAATAACTCAATGTTTGTAATTTAATGAGTTATGAAATTATAATAACTGGATGAGTAAGAATAAGCTTTTTTTTTTTTTATAATACAATGGAAGGCAAGAACTAACTTGTTTTGACAGGGAAAAAAGCTACATATCTTGAATAAAAATTTCTAAAATTAGTTAATATTTAACCTTAAACCTAGTCTTCTTAAATGTTATTCAATATTTTGTCAAAAGCAAAAAATTGTTCCTTCCTTTCTTGTTCCCCAGACAAAGTGCAGTAAGCATGGATATGCATACAAGCATATAAAAATTAGTGTTAAGGTTTAATTTTATATTAGAAGCTTTTGTATTTGAAAATATTTTCGGATAACCCTCCAAAAATATTAAAGAGGGGCAAATTCGTCGTAACAGTTAAAAAATTAACGTTGTTATTAGAAGGTTAATAAAAAGTTAACTGTAGAGGTAACATTACTGTTTTTTTCAATACTGAAATTTAACCTTAATCCTAAGAATTGTTTACAAGAAACTAAACGGATTACCTTGGACCTGGGGGTTTTTGGGGAAGGCCCGTGACGTTGATTAGGCACATTTGAGAAATGGACAGGTTGTGGAGGCGCATCAGGGTGGTGACCAGGCTCAGCATGCTTCTCTTGTTTAAGCTTACTGAAGATCACTGTGAAACTTTCTCCTGATTTTGGATCTTTTTCATCCCACTCACAAATTTGGTATTGCTTTTCCCTTCTGATTCTGCAGTTCAAGTGATCCATCACTTCAAATCACAGTCGGCCGTGCTTCTTTTAACGTTTATAATCATTATCAGAAATTTCTAACAAGCAATCATTTTCAATCCTATCCATGTTACGTTTATAGTGTTTCAGATTTCAGAGTGATGTGAGATTTGGAACAACGAGATGCTTACTTCGGAGTCACGAGAAGAATGGCTTCCACTCCCCGTCGATGATGGCTTGAGGAAGAGAAGCTACCGGTACGACCAACACTACCTCCTTTTGATATGCTCCTTTTGTTCTCGCGTCTCTGCAACACAGGGTGATCGGAATGGTTACTTCTCGAGCTCACAGACTCTGGTGTGAAGCTCCCATAGCTTTCCCTGCTCCTCTGATGAGGAGGGTTCCTTCTACGGCTGCTTCTTCCCAACGAGCTGTTCGAATTGCGGGAGAGGGAGCCGTCGCTTCCTCCGGTGGTGGCGGTGGCTCCCGTCAAGAAATTGAAGGCCTTTGGGTTTTGCTCTGGGTCGTTTGGGTTAACCATCGTCAGCGAATTCAAGTCTTTCTCTCTGCGTGCAGTCTCGAAGTATGCTGTGTACTGCTCATCGTCGGCGTCCCAATTCCCGAACTTTGGCACGTGGGAACGATGCTGCACATTACATGTTTGAAGAAATGCTTGTGAGAGGATGAATCGGAGCTCATCAAATGAGAGTATATATGTGAGGCATTCTTGTGAATGCTCACAAAAATTACGGTGTTCTTACAATCAGGTGATTTGGTGTTTTTTCCCCCATAATCATGTAAAATATGAAGATAGAAAGAAGAACCAAAATCAATCTAAGCAAGGGAAAGGAGGTTGATTCAATATACATTTCAACATATGGCATGTGTAGAACAGATCGAGACTGGAATTATGTCGTTCCCAAGTCCCAAAAATAATTAGGAACACTTACCGCCATTAATTAGGAGATCGTTTCTCCTCTGTTTTTCCCAAGTCTCTGCAATCACGAATCGTTGGAGGTAATGTTTCTTTGTTGAAGAGAAATAATGAAAGGGAACAAGTGACTTAGCTAGCAACAAGGGAGGAGAAAGGTAGCCTGAATCTTGACTCTAGAAGTGAAGACACACACTGCAAACAAATGCTTGATACTTTCAAAGCATTCTCATTAATGCCCAAAGTCGACGTCCCTTTCTTGTAGCTGATCAGGAAACGGATGAATATTCGGAATTTCTTAACCTGAGCTTTGTTTTTGCCATTTTGTTATGTTGTTTTTGTTAGTACACGTCTCAATCCCACGCATTATATTCCAGCTTCTTCCAAGAGTGGTATTTACGTCATATATAATTATACTGCAATTGTGGGGTTACTGCATTATGGCTTCCTTTACTTCCACGAGAGCCTTGTTTACAAAAATTCCAGATAAAATATAAAATCATCATCATGAGAATCATATAGGGATGTAGGAAAGCAAAATTTGTTTCCATCTTCACAAGTCAGGTGGGGGTTAAATCCAGAAGAGATTTCGTTGAATTGGCCCCTTCCACGTTTCCATGGAAGCAATCCAAAGCAAATATGTGGCCGGATTAGCTCCTTCCAGTTTTGTTGGATCACACATGAGAAATACTCATTTCTGAAGGATACATCTTATCGAATGAATAAATAATCGTGCCCGTGCATGTATGATATATGGCCCGGTATTTACAGCCTCGAGCGTCAGAAATACTACATAAAATATACATATACATATATATGTATATATATGACAACTTAATAAAGATTCACCCAACCAACTCATAGTATATGCAGTACTATCTCATGATCTTAATACAAAAATTAGATGATTAATTTGTATATATTAAGAAAAATATTTAAATTAATTATTTATAATAAATGTGTTATTTTTTCTAAAATGACTTTTTTTAATCACGTGCATTGTAATTATTTTTTATGTGGATTCCCTTACTATATGTAATCAATAAGGACACTATGGATAAAAAATTATAAATTTGAAAAACAAAATCAATTAGAATCTTATATTTAAAATTAAAATAAACTTCTTACCTAGTTATTATATTTAAAATCAAAAGTAATACTCCTCCGGTCCTTCATATAGGACCCAATTCTTGAGTTGGTTTGGTCCTAAATATAAGACCAATTTCTCATATTTATCATTTTTCTCTAAATTACCCTATGGATACTCCTCAACCATAATCAAGTAGAAGAGGGAGAGAGGGTATTAAAAAAGATGATTATGGTATTTTAGGAAAAATATGTCATTTTCTTATAATTAACATAACTTATCTAACTTTTTTAATCTAATCAAATTAATTAAATGGATCTTATATTAAAATCAGAGGAGTAACATTTATCTAATTTCTATTCTGAGTACTTCCCCGTAGTTGCGAGCCACCTAATAACATTTCGCGATGCTTTATTCTTTCGTCAATATGTTAGCTTGCTGATTACAAAGGGACGTGCGCTTCTTCCTCTCGCTCAAGCGGTCCAAGTTGATTGTCTGTTCTTCCTCTCAGTCAATTTTTTAATCAAGCATTAATCTCACATTCCTACCAAATATGTTTGACTGCTGTTGTGGCATTCATTTCAATCTTTACCCTTTTAAAAAGCTTAATTACCTCTTTGGCTCTTAAAGCATATGAAGGTTCGTGACGTTCTCACCTTATATTTGTTATCTTGAGATTCATATGAAGATTGCCAATGCAATGAATGAAACAAATATACCGCAGAATCTTTTAGAATTATTCGTTCTAAAGTTCCTGCAGAATTAAGAGAAAAAAGGGACTATAAAAAAAATCTCATATTATATTACTTTCTTTTGTCCTATATATAAGGCCCATATTAACTACTTTCTCATGTTTAAGAAATTTAGTTAAAATTACTTAAATAATTAAAAATTTTACAACTTCAAAAAATTATTCTTCGATTGGTATAACTTATTGGACAGAGGATTGGAAGATCATTATAAAGAGACAATTATATTTTCAGAAATTAGTTATAGATCTTCCATTAAATTTTGTAAAACTTCTTGTATTAAAGACCAATAAATATGATTTTAAAAATAAAAAATTCAATCTCAGCAACAATAATTAATTCTCTTTTTTACACGGCAAAATGTAGAGATCATAAACCTAGTACAAAATGCGCACTATCCACTCTCATCTCAAAAGATTGGGAGGTGCAATCAAAAGACACAAAAATTTCAACAAAAAAATATAATACAAATACCAAGACACTGAGAATCCAACTGCACAAATGGATCTGAAAATTTATAAAAATTTCTTGTCGAGATCGAGCATCATAGCACTTCCTTTCTGTGTAATCTGTATAATCTATGCGTACCTAAACACCGATTGTCTTGTTGAGCAGCCAAAGGCAAAGAGCCAATTGAATGGCAAAAATGGAGTGGAGCCACGTTCTGTCAAGCATGAACCCATACACGTGATTCCTGCTCTGTTGTTCTCCATGTATGTCACTGCATCAAAACCAACTAGCTCATAATCAATACCATTAATAATTTTATATCAACTAAGTTTGATTTAATTATTACAAAAACAAAGGACTCAGTTACATAATTAAGACCCGTAAATATAACCTCCTCCTTCTCCAAACTATACTGCCCAGGTTTACTTACGTGGGGAAAAGTGAATTAAACCACTTTTTATCAGTTCAGTTTACTTATCTTTTATAAACTAAATATACTCAGAATCACTGTAATTAAACAGAAAACAAGCATAAGTCATCATTAATCATCAGTAAATTCCAGCATACCTAAAGCTTGCTCTTGTGGGGAAAGATATGGTGGTGGGGCGTAAATTGGGACCAACTTTGTGTTATCCAGCTCATCCTCTTCATCTCCCACCTCTCTTCATCTGATCCCAAAAGAGCATTGGCATCTAAAACTGGAGTTGAAGCTATCTGTTCCGGTTACACGTGGCGTCTCGCCTTCATTGTCAAATGATTTATGGTTGCGCAATGTGCCATTTTGCAGCTAACCCAGTGGTGGTGGATTTGCTTTATGCGTGATCTTTGTAGCACTTCTTAATAGTATGTATAGCCCACTCACCAGGGTTATGGAGACTAACTGCAACAATGTCATAATCAAAGGGCTTGCTTAGCAAATTATAATTTTCTTTTGGTGACACCCC